TCTTCTTAGGAATCAAGAATACAGAGGTACGAGCCTATAGAACAGATCCTGTTCAAGTAAGGTCGTGCTTCTTCTTCTCTCTCTGTTGTATTTATACTGGCTTTCTTTTTCACTTCGCATCCATGTGGGACGAAACAAAAGAGTACAGACCTAACCCCGGTCCCCGGCCCTCTTTCTTTTTGGGTTTAATACCAACTATTTTGGTTTTATGAATAACACAATTTCAAATTTAATGTGACATTATTATTTATAAACTTATAACTGTTTTTTGTTATTGATAGATGGTTTTCATATTTAAAATTTATGTGATTTTACTTTATGTTATAGTATAATGTGACATTTTTAAAATTTAAAAATTTAAAAGCGTTAAGAGTTTTTTTTAGTGTAAGTATTCAGTTTATTAATTAAAACGGTTTTCTTTGTCGAAATTTAAAAATTAAATGCCATACATGTATATTTCAATACGAAAATATTATAAAGAGGAAGTTAAAAAGACATGATATCCATGAAAATAAAATAAAAAAACACACAACCTACTATAGTATATAATTTATAAAAATATGAAAGATGTGGATATGTTTTGTAATTTATTAAGCTGTTGAAAAAATATGAAAGATGTGGATATGTTCTGTTAAGAAATATATAAGTGAATAATAATATGTTAAACATTTTCTCAACTCCAACACATGTGTATTTCTTGTAGCATCCTCAAACGCTTCAAGATATAATAGACAATTTTTCTATCTTGCTAAACCCCATTATATATATCCCATTCCATGCAGATATCTTGAAAATAATTTAGTTTCTTACTTGAAACTCCAACAGGTTTCATTCAAATTCAATAATGGTACATCCATCTTGTGTGGACGTGGTCTATTCCTTATTTGTAGTGTATGTATTTGTATGTATTACTTGAATCAACATATACATATATGAAGTAACCTCACGCTTTGTAATTGGCAAGTTATAATGAATTTGAACAACAATAGCATACATTATATCTCATATCAAAAGTTGGAACTAGTAGATAACTCTCATTAAACGAATCTACATTTATCAAAACGTACCATATAGAGTCGAATCACATGTAAACCAAAAAGAATCAATCACAAATACACATACAAAACTCATCTCCTTCAACTAAAAACCTCATAAAACTTCTCAATAACAAGCAACCCCGAATCAATCGACTCCAACGGATCCTTCCTCAACCTGTGTCTCAAACAATTCGGAATCACAACCGCAATATCCTCCGACGTCACCGTATCCCGCCCCTTCAACGCCGCCAAAGCTTTCGCCGCCCTATTCGTCACAATATCACCACGCAATCCATCAACATTCAACTCCGCACACACTTTCGAAATCTTAACCCTAAGTTCATGATCAATCACCACCTTCGATAAACAACTCCTCGCAGCCGTTATCTGCTCTTGAAGCTTCTCTTGATCCGCTTTATACGTTTCCCTAAACTCCTTAGGGTTTTTATCAAATCGCGCTCTCTCCTCCACAATTTTAACCCTAAGTTCCGCGTCACGAACCGTTCCCACTTGCGCGTGCATCCCAAATCGATCGAGAAGTTGCGGTCGGAGTTCACCTTCTTCGGGGTTTCCCGATCCGATAAGGATGAAACGCGCGGGATGCGAAATCGATATTCCTTCACGTTCGACTGTGTTCCACCCTGAAGCCGCGGAATCGAGAAGCACGTCGACTAAATGATCATCCAAAAGATTTACTTCATCAACGTATAAAATCCCGCGGTTGGCTTTCGCGAGAAGACCGGGTTCGAATGCTTTGACTCCTTCGGTGAGGGCTTTCTCGATGTCGATAGTGCCACATACGCGGTCTTCGGTGGCTCCTAAAGGAAGGTCAACCATGTTGATTTTGACTTTTAGGGTTGGGAGTTGTTCGCCTTTGATTAGTTTTTCGCGGACTTCCATGCCCATTGATTCGGGGTCTTCTGGGTCGGAGTTGAAGGGGTCGGCGGCGACGACGGTGATTTCGGGGAGGAGATCGACGAGTGATCGGACGGTTGTGGATTTTCCGGTTCCTCTGTCTCCCATGATCATGACTCCGCCGATTTTTGGGTCGATTACGTTTAATAGAAGGCAGAGTTTCATCTCGTCTTGTCCGACTATTGCTGCAAAGGGGTATACTGGTCTTTGGTTTTCCTTTGAGAGCTTTTGTGCCTGTGCCTTGTATTCATTAGTATAAAAAAAAAAAATACATATGCAAGATTCAAAGACATTTCATCGAACACCTAAACTGCATTCAGCATTCCTGTTGGCACTAAAGGTCTGGTGATTAGGTTTATACCGATTCAAAGTATATATTCTAAATCAGATGAAATTGTACGAATTCCATTTAAAATACAATAGAATGGAAAATGAACTACTTCGTTTCTATGGTTAACAAAGACAGATAACCCACTAATTGCGATAAAATGGAAGTGGGAAACAGTTGTACCTGTTCTTGGGCTGGGCTGATTTCAGTGGCAACATTTGAGATTGAAAAATGAGACCTTCCTTTCTTCGATGGGAGTCCAATACCTCCATAAAACCTTCTGCCTTGAGTATGACCTGCCATAACATGAATGCTCGAGCATTAGGTTTTGGTTTTATAATACCTCATATAACACACACAAATACTATCGTGAAGATCCAAACATAGAAGACATCGAGGTTTAAAACCGAAAATCTGAGATCCAGCTCAACATTCCAAGGATATCTCTAAATTCACAACTCAGTCTTCTCTAACCGATGGAAAAATCATCATGAACAATCGTTCTGATTCATGAAAAATCTTTCAAATTCCAAAGAAAAACGGATGAGAGTGAAGTATGAAGAGCAAAGATTTCACTCCATAGCAGAGTAAATGTTTTGCGAAACTGTAAAGCTACACTGGTAGATTTTACTATATGTTTCTCTAAAATTATTGAGCCAGTCACCCCATTTCATTCATAAACCCTCAAAATTCCATACACAGAACTCCTAATTTCACGGAAACCCCCAAAATTAGAAACAACTGATGAAACGCAATTGAAGAATCGTTACCAACAGAATGCCAAAATGAAAATTCCATTACAGTTCTCTTAACGTACCCCCCACATTTTGATTGAATGACACTAACTTGAATGAAATACAAAAAGTTTTCATAAAAACCTGGATTAAAGGATAGAGCACGAATTGACGCCTTTGGCGAAGAAGAAGAAGAAATAGAGGGAGAGCTCAGTAGTGCTGCTGCAGAAGAAGTTCCTAGTAATCCGGCCATGGTTGCTTACGAATATGTTGAAGCCTGAAGGTTTAGACGAGTAGGAATAGCATTGGTGGATTGATCAGTGTGTTAGTCTACTGGTCTCTAGGGTTCTATATGGATAAGAGGATAGATATCATTTCATTGGCTTGTAACGTGATGCATTTTTTTTTAATTGGCTTCGTGGCTCCATATTGTGCTGTAATCATGCGGATTGTACATACGGAAAATTTTCATTTCTAGCTGTTGGATGATGGTTTTTTTCTAGAAAAAATACCTCTATTTATTTATTTATTTTAAATATTTCTCGATTTTTTTCTACAAAGACACCTCTAACTTTTTTAAAATGCATAATACTTTTAATTCGAGGATTGTTGTTGGGGAAGAAATTTAGATTTTGTTTAGTTACGGAAATATAGTTGTTTTTTAGTAACAAAATCTTAAGAAAAGTTTTTATATTTTGGTTGTATAAATGATTTAGTTTTATATTTTATTTATCCAAGTCATAAAAACAGGTTATTGTATCTATTTTGATATTATTATCCTGTATACCGGTCACCAACAAAATATGATGATTTTTTCATATGATCAAAATATAAAGATTTTTTAAGTATGTTATTTTTAATATTATATTATTATCTTAATATAATCTTAATGTAATAGTTTTGGTTTTCGGTTTGACAATCTCCCTTAAACGGTTTGGGGAAAAAATTTTGGGTTCAACAAATAAATTGATTAAGAAAAAAATATATTCCAAACCATGTTTTTCATTGCGGTTTGAAACGGACGATTTATGCGCATTTTAATGATTTCAACTTTATCATTTTCACTCATTTATAAATTTCTCGTTAATCACAAAAGTTTTAAACAAGCATAGCGGATAAACGAGCAAAAAGTTGTGCTGCAACCCTTTTTTGGATTCCAAAACTTATTCTTTTAAAACGACACTCATAGATCTTGGGGTCATAACATTAATATGCATGACACGTTGGACTCTATTGAGGAGCTCTACAACATCTGGCATAAGGAAACCGAAAGTATCAAATGCAAAAAGTATAAACATATGTTGATTTTCCATGCACGCTTTCTCATTTTTTTGCTACTTTGCATGAGATGACTTTTAAAACAGCTTACCTCATAGTAAAAACCCTACTCCCAAGCTTACAAGAAGGGAAACCCATGTTAGATCCATACATACATGCTTCCCTCCGGTCCATCCAAAAACTATAACATCAGTTGGTCTAAGTGTTGATCTTCATTCCAACGGGCCAATCAGAAAGTTCACATGTCTCTTTCTTAGCAGAAACCTCATCACGCCTAAATATGTCGAAAAGAACATCCCTAACCAGATCGGGTCGGTACTTGAAACATGTGAGCTCTCTACAATGAACTGCATGCTTCCCAAAGAGTCCAAGCATGCCTTGCGACAAACATGACATGTTTCATCAACTGGAAATAAAATGATCAGATCACGATTCTTAAGGATAGCACGATATTCCACTGGTGACATATATTGGCCAAGACCGTCAATATGAATAAATATAAGAAAATCCTGAGCATGTTGTACCCTTAGACACTCAAAAACTACTTTCTACCAAATATTCATGTTGAAGTAAACTTCCATGTCTTGAAAATCTTACTAAAAATAGCTTCTGCCAATGAATGTTGGGCTTTTGGAGGGACGGTGTCCTTATTAGTAAAACCGATCAAGCCAAAACCCGAAATCATATTACGAAGACAGAACAAAACACAAACATAATCAGAATCCATACTACATAATTTTTGTTTATGATCTTTAAATTTAAAACTTTTAATTTTTGTTTATGATCTTTAAATTTAAAACTTTTAATTTTTGTTTATGATCTTTAAATTTAAAACTTTTAACATCCAATCAAGGATGTATTAGGGGTGTGCATAAAAACCGCAAAACCGAAAAACCGAGTCGATCCGGCCAATCCGAAACCGAAAAAACCGAAACCGAAACAAATCGAAACCGAAAAAAAACCGAAACCGAAAAAACC